TTACATGGTGCTACATAACTTGTGTTTATCATTCACTTCCTCCGTCGGGAATTAATTGTCTTTTGTTTAAAAGATGAATGATATGAACAATGTCAAAATCACAAAAAAATAAAATTGGGAAGATTGGGTCCCAAAGCCCTTAACTACCAGTTTTCAAGAAAAAAACTTAGTCCCAATCCCTCTAAGCAGCCCCCCCAAAACGCCTCACCTTGTCCAAAAAATGTGCGCTCATATTCCACATCGATAGGAGATCCCCATGGATTTGCGCTCTTCCTGTCCCGGCATGTAGCATGGGGAAGTCATTACCCCCATTGTGGCGTAGTGTGGCATCAAACACGTTGAAAAGCGCTTGCCAAACATGCTCAAGTATGCCAAGATCGTGATCGTAGAAGGCCGTTGCCACGGAATTGATGATGTTTTGCAGATTTCCTCCCTTGTTGATCTGCGATGCACGGACTTGCAACGGGTGAAAAGCCCAAGGTCCAAGACATTAAAATCTGAACTTTGTGCTAACTGCTGCTCCACAATTATGTTGTAACCTTGCTTGGAGCATTCCGCCTCGATCGATGCTTGAATCCACGATTTTGTGTGTGGCTTTGCCCCATCAATTTGGACAACAACATGCTTCTTCAAGTGTTTGTAAGTATTTTGAATGGCAGAGAAGACTTTGTCCACCATCATGTCTCTTCCACCATCCCCATCCACTGAAACCAACTTCAATTCTGCCTCTTCGGCAGCCCTATGCTTGCTTGAACACACCGCAAAACCCTCCCTCACGATTGGCCAGATCCCAATCAGTCCATCGAACTTGGCCCTATTTGGCCGCTTGTGGGGCCGCCCTATGGCAGTTAAGGACATCACTTTCTTCATGAATGTTGTGCTTTGTGCATTTGGAGCACCAGGACGCCCGTCCTCTAGCAGAACCCACACTTTTTGTGCATCTTTCATCACATAAAACCACTTTTGATCGACGTGGATCGTGTTTGCAAAATGGAAAAATTCCCACTTCTGGCCAACTTTTCGTGTGTGGCCAACGATCCAACGCAGCCTGGTGTGTCTCTGCTCTTGTGTGAGACACGGCTTCATCCACCTGCCATTCCTTCTTGCACCCATTCCCTTCAAGTGTTCAAAAATTGTCGATTTCGGTAAATCTGGCTTGGCAACCAATTCCCAAATAGTTCGCCGTATAACCATGGAGATGGCCAACACCTTCGATCGCACCTTATTGGCAGCATTGGGGCGCCTCCCGCATTTGCCTTATGGTGGCGATGGAGGTCGAAAACTCCTCGCCCAAAAATCTGGGCCTTGAAGGCAGCTCCGATTCGTTAGATCGTCCTCGAATTGCAGCCGTAAGCCACGGCGAGTTTGGCGATCAAACCCGACGGAACTCGCTTTTTGTCGCCCTACCTTTTCATCAGAACCACACCAACCTTTAATTTGAATGGCGTTGAGAGTTTTGTATAGGCGGCTTTGTTTCACCACCAGGAAGGCGTGCCCCTCACCATCGCAAAAAACGGTTGTTTCGGTGACTTTGTTGAAAACGGGTGTTTTTTTGCCTTGAGACCCCTTGCTACAAAGTAATGCCAAATTCTCAATACTTGATGGATCGTCTTGAAAATTTGATTGTATTTTCCCAAAACATAGGCATACTTTTGGAAGAAATTTTATTAAAAATTGAAGCCTTTATGATAGAGAAGTATAGTGCCAAATTCATAGTGGACAAATAATTCCAGATGGAGGAAGCATAATTTTATATATATGTTGGCGGCGTGGTTCATAGAGATGAGACAGGGCCGTTTTCACATATTTATAATGGGAATTGGTATTGTTTCACAATTGTATTTTCCAATAGTAGATACATCAGATGTTTTTGTTGGAACAATTGTATTCCATAACAAGGTTGTACAATAGGATATTCCTCCAGAACAATGCGAATCTTTGGGGAGCGGGTATAGAGTATTTGAGAAGGGTTGTGTGCCCATTTGATCGCAGCACATACCCTGGTTGTTGGACACCGAACTGGTTGAGTTTGTAAGCCTATAATAGACTTGTTTAATTGGGTTTCTAACCTATATTGTTGAGGGCCACGACCGTCCAGATCACTGCACATTGTGCGCTCATCTTGGTAACGCATCAAGGCCTGTGTTCCCATGCGAAAGGCCAGACCCTACACAAAATTCTGTGTGAAGGGGAGCACTGCACCTCGAGTGCTGAGCGCTTGTTTGTCTGCATGTCTATGACTGCACTAAGCTTTGCGTGAGTGTGCAAAGTTGTTGTGAGCCTAGAAGAGCCTTGGCAAACTTTGCTGAGACCTTTTGGACAACATTGGAGACCAGAAGAGTCAAGCTCTCAGTAATGCTAGCCATGGTGAGTGTTACAAAATGAGTGTCAATATTGTCGACGAGTTGGTGACAGTTGGGCAAGCCAAGGAGTGTTGTAGTGAGATGAAGCCATATGGGAATGTGTGTTGGAGACAAGATCTTCATGGCCAAGCTCTGAAAGGCCCAAAAGAAAGGGAGAAAACCGTCAAAGGAATTGTGAAGTGCATTGGAGGAGCTGAGCTACATTGAAGATGAAGCAAGATTAAGCATGTGGAAGCTCGAGTTGACAAGCATCGAGTTGCTATGCTGAAAAGTCCTTGAGGACCAGGAGACAAAGGGTAACTTCAAAAAAGCAAGTGTAGGAAGAAGCATTTGAAGCCCTAGAGGTGATTTTTAACTTAACGATATTTTGGTCTCTCTTGGTGGTGTACGCGAACCAGCCAATCAAATAGGAGAGTGGTGTAGTGTGTTTTGGAGTGAGGAAAATTGGTGGGAATTGTAGAAAGCATTGGGTTATACCTTTGTGACTTCTATTTTTGTGAACACTTTTGCTCTCTTCTGGCATTTCTATCCGTGGTGCTCGTTTGGTGCAAAGAGTCGTTGTAAGCACTCATCAGAAATTGGTGTTATTGATGCCAAGGGATAATCTATATTTGGCAAGGTTGGCAAGGGAGGTTGCTGCCTTGAAGGGGCGCCTTACCTTTCTATAGGAGGCTAAGCATGCACGAAGGGAGCATGCAAGAGGGGGGGGGGGGAAGTTGCTCGTGCCTTGCCTAGGAATTTTTTCGGTTTGCATTCTGGCTAAATTTGTGGCTCAGTTCAGGACCAAGTGGTTTGTGCTCTTCTCGCTGGAATTTTTGTTGGTTGTTTTTGTCTCTGAGTGCTCTCAATTTCGGTCTTTGGATTGGTTCTCTTGTTTGAAAAGAGAGAGAACACGTGGCCATGACTCAGCCGCTGCATAGTCAGCAATCACAAGTAATGGCCATGCAATATATGGATATGAGAATGGGCGGCCTTCCTTTCACTGAACCGTCATGGCACCATCATGGTTGGTGCAATCATTGAACGGGACAGGGATTCCAATCATGGCGTGTACCTGTCACAGAATGGGAATCACATGGTGGCGATGCAATCTTGCACTACACACCCATCTAGAGCACAAGCGCAGACAACCCATACTTTTCAGCTCGGGTGGATCAGAATCGGAATGATAGCACGGTGCCGTGGTGTGCCTCATTTCGATTGCTTGGAGTTGAGCTAACTGCAGATAGTATTCGCCTTCTCTCTTCTTTCTCTTCTGGCTTGTTTATGGCTTATTTTGGTTTCGTCATCGACGTCTTGCTTCATCTTGTGCTATCTTGTACATCATTTACTTCTTGTTTTATCTTGTAAAGCTAGACTTTGGCATTCAGAGGTCCTTGCAAGTCATGTGCCATTTCGTTTGCCCGGTTGCCGCGGGGGCATACCCCCATTTCACAGTTTCTGTCCGCGTTCTGGTGTCCACAGTATGCCGGAAACGTGCACTGGGGAGCGGCCTCGACACAGCATTCGGTGCCATTCATCAGCACTGCCGTCAGGCCTTGCGCCATCTTTGCGACGACCGGCGACGCGACAGAATCGGAGAATCGGTGCGCAGAGGTACAGATCTTGGTGGGGTCTCGGAGGGTCGGGGCTTGACTCGGGAGGTCGCCGGACACATATGTCCAGAGCGTGTTTCCGGAACGGGAACTCACTGAGCGACGTCCTGTAACGGAGGCGGGGACAGCTCAACTGCGGGCCACAGCTCTGCGCGTGTGCATTGCCAGTGGCCCCATCGACGCCGGGGCGCGCATCGAAGCGGCACTCGTCGAGGTCGGAACGTCGGCCTGGGACCGGCTTCCTGCCGCAGTGGCGCTTGGGAAGAAAAGTGGAGGCGACTGACAGCGGATTCGGGAGTGTTCTGCACCCACGAGCAAGGGAGCCACGGAGCGCGCGCGGGGGAACGCACTTCTGGGTCGGTGTGGTTGCGAGCGGGTTCTTGGCGGTGTCTGCATGGAGGAGAACAGCAGCGAAGAGAAACGCACGTTGGCGACAACAGTTTTGGCGACCACTGCGCACAGGCATCCGCAGCAGTCGCAGCACGCCGGCACGCCTTTGCCACCTTGAACCAATTTCGCCAGTTCGAAGAGTCGCCCGTCGCGCCCTCGAGGCGCCCGCGTCCACGCACGGATTACAATCCAGAACTACACATTACAGAAACACGTTCATACAGAAAAAGATGCATGCAAAGCTTCGGGCCCCCCCCGATTCCCCGGAGTGTCAACAACGCGTCGAGCAGACCGCGCGAGGCGGGCGTCGAAAATCGCCACGCCCGGGCGCCCCATCCTCCCGGCCACGAACATGCCCTCAAAACTGCAGGAAACAGCGCCGCGCTGCAGAAAACGGCAGCGGGCTACTCAATACAGCGCCGGGCTACAGAAAAAAGCGCCTAGGCCCGACCTCCCTGACCCAGTCACGGATCCACCGCCCTCCCCGACATCGCCACGGACGGCGTCCAGGATCGAAACGGCTCGCTCGGCCACCACTCCGGCTTCAGCGCACCCCCACCCCGTTCTAAATTTTCGAACTCGTGGAAGGGCGACGCGCCAATCTAGCCGACGCGCCCCCTTCCGATCCAGATCTCAGACGTTCGGTCGACGCTCAAGCCACGGCGAAGGAGTTGTGCACCGTCTCGGCGTCCACCCGCGGGCCACCCTTCATCCACCGCTTGTCGCCGCACTGCACTTTCTGGATGTACAGGCTGCCGCCACCCACGGCCGCGGTGAGCAGCACGTGGCGGCCGCCCTCATTGCCGTCGGCCGCCCTCACGAACAGCTCGTACTTGTAGTAAGACTTGCCCTTCTTGTCTTTGGCGGTGGACACGTCCAGCAGGGACGCCGCGGACACCTTGTTCTTGCCGAACCCGCCTTCGGACTCTGTGACGCCCTCGCTGATCCACACGGACTCGCCCAGGTAGTTGCCAATGCTCTTCAGGAAGGCGTCCGGGGACCCGTACCCCTCGATCGACCCGCTGCTGGCCTTGCTCTTGGTCACCAGCACGTGGGACAGGGGCTCGTAGTTGTCCTCCCACCGCATGTCGATGTTCTTGAAGTCGCGCTCTGGCGACGGGTTCCACTTGGAGGGCAGCAGCACCACGTAGCCGTCGCCAGAGTAGGGTATGTACCCCGACGGGTTGGTGATCGATCCAAACACGTTGGCCGTCTCGCCGTAGGCCGCCTCGGAGGGCCTGGCGCCCGCGATCATTGCCACCCCGCCGGCGAGCATTCCCATCGCCGCGCGGCGACTCACGTCCTCGGCATCCGCGCGGACGGCGACCGTCCTTGGGCGCGCGACTGCCACGGACGCTCCGTTCTTGGCGGACAACCTGGATCCGGCCAGCGCCTTGGGCGCGGTCAGGGGCTTGAGGGTGCTCAGCGCCATGGCGACCGGGCGGGTTTTGCGGATAGACGGAGAAGGGGGAAGGGGAAGGGGCTGGGAGGTCGCGCAGCACAGTGCGGGGTGGCGTGGGGTGGAGTGGGGTGGGCACTTTTGAGGGGTTGATAGCCACGCCAGGGAAGATTGTGGAGGGCGCAGATGCGGATCTCCGCCCGTCGCCAGAAAATGGACACGTGGAACGAGGTCATTGGGTGACGGGCGTGCGCAGTCAGCATGGTGGTATCTTGGGGGGATACAATTACTGGCTGCACCAAATCGGTGACTGCTTGCACCAAATCCCTCCAAAACTAACCTAGCCTGACCCCTAACCCCTACACCTGCAACAAGATACCTCGGTGGGGGTGGGCGCGAGAGAATGTGTTCGGCGCCGCGGTTTTGGCGAAGCTGCGAAGTGTGGTTTGCAGTGCTTGTTTTGCGCTAACTATTGTTAGCAGTCAGTGCAGTACTTGGTGTCCTCAAAGGAGACAAAATTTCGGCAAAGAGACCGCCATGCCGGTTGGGTGCCACGCGCAGCGCTTGAAACAGGCAAGCTGACGGACTTGCAATAAATCGTAAAAACAATCACTCTGCAGGGAACTTCTATTTCGGAAAACGAAAACAGTGGGCTTTGGATGCGTGAGGGTATAGCACAGTGAGGGCGCACGCAGCAGTGGCTTGCAGGGCAGATGTCCGGCAACCCGTCGAATGCTTGCAGCAGATGCCGACGCCCACGGCGCAGAGTCAGCGAGAGTGCTCCCACCATCCAACATTTTGCTGAAATCCGTGATGCTCCTGCTGACGGGTGAGCACTGCGACACATGCGTTTGCGTCTTGCGCCTGGGTGGCGCTTCAGTCCCCGCGCTGGGCGGCCTGAGTGTAACGCGCCACTTGCAAACTTCACTGTGCCATGCAGGTAATGTTGCGTTCAGCAACCAGGCTAAGCAACGTACTGCAACGCGTTTGCCCGCGACGCCGAATCTCTAGAGAAAGAGGATCCTCTTTTCAGGGCCACACCGCCGCTTGTCGCCTCTCCAGTTCCTCCCCATCCACGTTCGCGTGAATTGACACGCCACCACGCCTCCCCTCCCCAAAAGAGAATGTGGGTGAACCCCTCCCTGCGGCCTGTACATAGCACAGCATACGCCACACATGCGAATGAAATTGACCCCCCCCCTTGCGCGCAGAGAGTTGATGCCCCCCCCCCCCCCTTCCGGCCTTTACAGAGGACAACCCACCGCATACATGCTAACAGCAGTGTACTTGTATCGTCATCGAATCTCTTCTCTTCAGTCCAGAGAACTGTGGCTCAGCCCCTCGTTCCCCAGTTCCTTTCCCTCGCCATGCACGCCAGAGCGTCGGCCGGCGCCGCAAAGGGCGACAGGCCCTCGCGGCAGTGCGCCGTGCGTGCGGCCGCCCGGGGCTCATCGCCGTCCCCTGCCGCGGTGAGGCCCTCCCACTCCCACTCGCGTCCCCCCCGCGCCGGCTATCCATGTCGTGATCGAGGCATTGGAGCGAGCTGATTTCGTTACGCTCCGCGTTGAGCAACATATGGTTAAGTCGTGGGCGACATCGTGAACATGTCAATGTATCAAACGGGACGATTTGTGCATCGGCACCTAAGGTCCTTGGACCTTCGTGAGCCCTCGTCTCTCGTAATCGGGGCGCAATGTGTGCCCTTCTACTGTGAAGGCCGAAACTCCATGGTTGACGGTTGTAGCAACGTAGTGACTATCAGGGCCCTTGCACCTTGAGGATGATGATGGGCACTTAGACGTTCGCAAGGGGTGCAGTTCGTTCTGTGCCCAAATACATGCTCAACCTGTTGACATCTATTTCAAGCAGCTCACAAATACAATGTAGCCAAGAACGCAGCGGTGTGAGATTCTCATGCGCCAGTGCCCTGTTTGAGGCAGCCACAGAACCTTCCGTCTGTGCCCTGTGATTTTCATCCCTGTTGAAATTGGCTTGCACTGTCTTCTTGGTTCCATCCCTCCTGTGAGCTGTTTGATGTTGATGCGAAGGCGTCTATGCGGGTGGCATGGCAAGAGTTTGATCGCAGAATGCAAGGAAACAGTCTGGGTCCGCTCGGCAAATGAACCAATCTTGCAAGGACTGCCATGCAAGGCTGTATTTGTGGCTGCAAGGCTGGCTCAGTCTGTGTATGATGCTATTTCAGGGCTGTGTCCAAGCTGCTCATTAGTGGACTGTGCTGAAACTTGGCAAAGCTGTTGCAGTCAGCCATGCTAGCCAAGGTTTCTTTCTACTTCAGATTGCGTGTCTCCACAAGTTAGGAGCCCAATGCACTAGAATAGACACACCTAAGTAGCGGTAACGCTGTGCGAATTGCCTGGTGTCACCATTCACAAACCTGGATGGGTGGCAAAGATCTTTTGAACTGGATTGCAATTCAGTGTATCCCAGACAAAGCAACACAAACGTTTGCTGCTTTGATTTCATGTTTTTTTCTTTCTGATTCCAAAATATTACATCACATTTCCCTGGAATCAAAAAAGAT